AATGGAAAACCACTATGTTCACCCCTTTAGGGGCATTTGAATATTTGGTTATGCCCTTCGGCCTACAAGCAGGCTCCGCAACATTTCAATCGTTTATGAACCACGTCCTGGGGCCTTTGCTTTACAAGAATTGTGTGGCCTTTTAGACGACGTGTTGGTGTATTCTGAGAATGAGGAGCAGCATGTGAGAGACGTCAGAGAAGTGTTGAGCAGGCTGCAAGCCAACCAGCTGTGGGTGAAACTGGAGAAGTGTCAGTTTCATACCAAGGAGGTGGAATTCCTGGGGTATCGCCTGTCAGACAAGGGATTGGCCATGGATCCCGGCAAGGTCCAGGCGGTGCTGGAATGGAAAACACCCAAAACAAAGAAGGATGTGCAGAGGTTCCTAGGATTTGGGAACTTCTATCGTAAGTTCATCCGAAACTTTGCCCACCTGACGGCGCCCATTACGGACTGTCTCAGCAGTAAGAAGAAGTTCGTGTGGACTGAGGAGGCGGAGCGAGCATTTGAGGAACTAAATAGGGCCTTCGCCTCGGAACAACAACTTCTGCATGTGGATTTACAAAAACCGATGAGAGTGGAAACTGACGCATCAGACAGAGCGATTGGGGCGGTGCTTCTGCAGCCAGGCAAGAAGGGGTCAGAGTGGAGACCGTGTGCCTTTTTTCGCGAAAGCTGAACAAATCCGAGAGGAACTACACGGTGTATGACCGAGAACTACTAGCCATTCATGAGGCGTTCCGGAGATGGAGGCACCTGCTAATTGGCGCACAACATAAGGTGCAAGTGTGCACTGACCACAAGAACCTAGAGTATTGGAGGACGGCACGAGTGCTCAACCAACGGCAAGTGAGATGGGCCCAGGAGTTCTCCAAATTTAACTTTGAGATTAGTTACGTGCCAGGCCCAGAGAACATTAGGGCGGACGCTCTCTCACGCAAACCTGAATATTTGGAGGAGGGGGCACCCGAAGAGAGACATGTCATTCCAGAGGACCGCTGGGTGTGTGGGGCGGCATTGGTGGGACAAAGAGAACTGGTAGAGGAAACAGAGAATGATGAATACGCCCAGAATAAGCTCAGAGGTCTTAGGGGTGATGGAGAGGAACCAGGGGTTTCGAGGAAAGAAATGGAGCTTTGTATTACAAAGGGGCACTGTATATCCCTGAAGGAGAGTTAAGGGGAGGGTACTCAAGCAGTTGCACGACAGCCCTACGGCGGGCATTTTGGACAACACAAAACCATGTGGTTGGTCACCAGGGAATTTTGGTGGCCTAAGGTGAGGGAAGATGTACGTGAGTATGTAAGAGGGTGCGAGCAATGCCAGCGAGCCAAAGGGGAAAGGCGGGCGCCGGCGGGGCTATTAGAACCCTTACCAACCCCAGAACGACCTTGGGAGGCAGTGTCGATAGATTTTATGACTGATCTGCCGAAGTCCAAAGGGAAAACAGCCATCATGGTGGTGGTAGACCTACTAACAAAGATGTGCCACTTTGTAGCTTGCTCGCATGCAGTCACGGCGGAAGAGACAGCGAAGTTATTTGTAGAAAACATTTTTAGGTTGCACGGGTGCCATTGAGGGTGGTCTCAGACCGAGGAAAACAATTTACTTCCAGGTTCTGGAGGAAGCTCATGAGCTTACTGCAGGTGGAGGTCAATTTTTCGACTGCCCGGCACCCTGAAACCAACGGGCAGGCGGAAAGAGCAAACGGTGTCCTCCAGCAATACCTGAGGTGTTATGTCAATGACAGAGAGAATGACTGGGTAGAAAAGTTGGCGCTGGCGGAATTTGCCTACAACAATGCCGAGAATGTGTCCACAGGGATGAGCCCCTTCTTGGCTAATTATGGGTGTCATCCCAGGGCTTTCCCAGGGGAGAGGGGAGAGATGGAGCGTCCCGGCAGCCGAGCATTTTGTGGAAGAAATGGAAGCAATCCATCGTCAGCTCCAACTCAACTTAGAAAGGGCGAAGGAAGAATACAAGAGGCAGGCAGACAAGAACCGAAGGGAAGGTGAAACCATAAGGGTGGGAGATAGGGTGTGGCTGTCAACCCAAGGGTTGCCGTTCAAAGGAGGTTGTAAGAAATTAAGACCCAGGAGGTTGGGTCCCTTTGAGGTCATTCAACAGGTCAACCCAGTGGCTTTCAGGCTCCGGTTACCCAACCACATGAAACTGCACCCAGTATTTCACAGGTCGTTACTGTCACCGTACGAAGGGGGACGAGAAGGGTTGGCCACTCGGGGACCGGTCGTAGAAGAAAGAGAATGCAGCAGCCATGTGGCAGAAATCCTCGACGCCAGGTGGAAGGGGGATCAGGTGGAGTATTTGGTAGCGTGGGAAGGAGAACCGGAGTCAGAAAACACTTGGGTAATGGCTGAAGATATCAATGACGAGGTATTGATAGAAACGTTCCATCAAAGGTTCCCAAGGAAACCTCAGCCTGTGGAGAGGTTCCGGAGGGAATACTTTGGGACCACTGATGAAGGGGAGGAGTTGGAAGGATTCCCGGACTCGGAAGGGGAAGGGAGATGGACTCTGAGGAGGAGGTGTACTTCGAGACCAGGAACCGCAACAGGTTGAGAGAAGTGTTCGAGACATCGGAAGATGAAGGAAGTTCATTCCGGGTTTTGCCTCCTCACCGCCCGTAGAGGAGGGGCGAGAGGGGTGAAGGGGGCCCTGGAGGGGAGGTGGATGTCAGGGAACTGCCATCGGACGGAAGGGAGGTGAAAGGGCTCACACAGGTTGGGAGAGACGCAGCAGCTGAAGAGGGAACCAGCAGGGAGGTGAAAGGGCTCACACAGGTTGGGAGAGACGCAGCAGCTGAAGAGAGAACCAGCAGGGGGAGAGGAGCTGAGCTGGAGGGATGGCTCAGAGACACTTCCAGCGAAAACAGTGGGGAGGTTTCAGGACCTCCTGTAAGAACACCCACTCCTCGCCGGAAACTGTCACGCAGAGATTCCAGAAGACGTGTTTCCGTTAAGGAGCTTTTATGTTGGAAGCGATCACGAAAGCAACCACTGTCGGAATCTGCTAGTGACTAGAGTAGCCATGTCTGAGGGGCTCCGTCACAGACAGAGGTTTGTGGACTTGAACAAACTCTGAGGGGATACGATTTTACGCACAAGCAGCTCATCATCCCATCACATATGGGTAACTAGAGGAATGGCACCAAAGACAAGAAAAGTGGAAATCTGCCCAAAAACCTGCTCCGACCATAATGCTGTCAAGATGGAAATGAAACTAACACCAGCTGGCTCCTTTAGATGGAGGATGAATGACACCTTATTTAGAGATGAAGAAGTGCTTAAGAAGGCCCAAAAAACCTTGAGAGACTATTTTGAGATAAATATGAGCACCAATGTGGAAAAAAGAGTAATCTGGGACGCAAGCAAAGCGGTTATGAGAGGGTTCTTGATACAACAGAATGCATTAAAGAAGAGAATCCAAAATGAGAAGAAGGATAAAATATTGGAGAAAATAAAGGAAAGTGAAAAAGATTGAGAACAAAACCAAAGTCTCAAGAGATTTTGAGAGAAATAAAGTTATATCAAGTGCAATATATGAAAATGATGAATCAGGAGATAGAACGGAAAATTAAACAAATGAGACAAAAGACATTCGAGTCGGCTAATAAATGTGGGAAATTGTTGGCTTGGCAAATGAAAAAAAGACAAAAATTAAATACAGTTACAAATTTAGAAGTGGAAGGAAGGAATATACAGAACCCAGCTGAGATTAGAAATTGTTTCCAGAGGTACTTTAAACAACTATATACACAAGGGCCACTGAAAGAAACTGATGTAGATCGATTTTTGAAAACAAATGGATTACAAAAAATCTCTCAAGAAAATAAATTAATGTTGAACTACAAAATAACTGAACAGGAGATAGAAGGTGCCATTCAAAACATGCAATTGGGTAAATCTCCAGGACCGGATGGACTGACTTCTAGATATTACAGATCCTTGAAAGAATGGCTAGTACAACCTTTGAAAGAGGTCTGTAATGAAATAATGGAGGGGAAAAGGGCACCAGAGTCGTGGAAAGAAGCTTATATCACACTTGTACCGAAAACAGAGACTGAAAAGACGCAGCTTAAGAACTACCGCCCCATATCATTACTTAATGTGGATTACAAAATTTTTGCAGACATTTTGGCTAAGAGACTGAAAAAAGTGTTGATGGAAGAGATTCATAAAGACCAAGCGGGCTTTCTCCCTGGAAGACACTTGTCTGACAATTTGAGGAATATAATTGATATTTTGGGAAAACTAGAAGTGAACATAAATACTAAAGCAGTTTTGATATTTGTGGACGCGGAGAAAGCTTTTGACAACATTTCTTGGAGTTTTATGAAGAAGAACCTAGCGGGTATGGGGGTAGACCAAGGCTTTGAAAACGGTATAAGTGCAATTTATTCAGAACAAAAGGCTAAACTAATTGTAAATAATGTGGTGACGGAAGAATTTAAGATAGAAAAAGGGACACGACAAGGTTGCCCAATTTCCCCACTGCTTTTTATATCGGTCCTGGAGGTTTTGCTGAACATGATTAGAAGGGACCAGTTGGTTAAAGGTATACAGGTCGGAGCCAAACAGTACAAATTGAGAGCATTTGCAGATGATTTAGTATTGACGTTATAGGAGCCAGAATCTAGTACCAAAAGGGTTCTAGAACTCTATCAAGAATTTGGTCAAGTTGCAGGGTTTAAACTGAATAAGTCAAAAACCAAGGTTTTAGAGAAAAATTTAACACCGATTGAAAGAGAGAGGTTTCAGAATGAGACAGGTTTAACAGTGGTTAAGAAAGTTAAATACTTGGGGATTAACATGACACCAAAAAATGGGAATTTATTTAAAGATAACTATGAAAAATGTTGGGCTGAAGTGAAAAAAGATTTAGAAATTTGGTCAAATTTGAAGCTTTCACTGCTGGGCCGTATTGCTGCGGTAAAAATGAATGTATTGCCTAGAATGTTGTTTTTGTTTCGAACATTGCAAATTGTGGACAAAATGGACTGTTTCAAGAGGTGGCAGAGAGATATTTTTAGATTTGTCTGGCAGGGCAAGAAGCCCAAAATAAAATTCAAAATATTAACAGATGCAAAGGAAAGAGGTGGATTTGCCCTGCCAGACCTCAAACTTTATTATGAATCAGCAGCTTTTTGCTGGTTGAAAGAATGGCTGCTTCTTGAAAACACTGACATTTTGGATTTAGAAAGCTTTAACAATGTATTTGGATGGCATGCATATCTGTGGTATGATAAGGTCAAAGCACATAAAGCATTTAAAAACCATATTGTCAGGAAAGCATTGTTTAATGTCTGGATAAGATATAAGGATTTATTGGAAAATAAAACACCAAGGTGGCTGTCACCGATGGAAGCGAAAACTCTGAAAAAGCTCAATATGGAGGTCAAATGGCCGAAACATTGGGAAATTTTGGAACAAGATGGAGATAGATTGAAACTGCAGAGTTTTGAAAAACTAAAAAACAAAGTGCGAGACTGGCTTCATTATTATCAGATAATGGATGCATACAATTTGGACAAGAAAATTGGCTTCCAGGTGGAAAAATCAAAATTAGAAACAGAATTGTTAGAACCCAAAACTAAGATTTTGTCAAAGATGTATAACTTGCTGTTGAAATGGAATACTCAGGATGAAACGGTGAAATCTGCTATGATTAAATGGGCACAAGACGTTGGACATAATATAATGATGGCTGACTGGGAACATTTGTGGACCACAGGTATGAAGTTTACGGCATGTAATGCCCTAAGAGAGAATATTATGAAAATGATATACAGGTGGTACATAACCCCAGTCAAGCTTGCAAAAATCTACCATTTGCCCGATAACAAATGTTGGAAATGTAAAGAAACTGAAGGTACATTCTTTCACCTTTGGTGGACGTGCCCAAGGATTAAGGTTTTCTGGGAGATGATTTATAATGAATTAAAAAAGGTATTTAAATATACCTTCTTGAAGAAACCAGAGGCCTTTCTCCTGGGCATAGTCGGCCAATCGGTGTTAAAGAAGGACAGAACTTTCTTTATGTATGCTACAACAGCAGCAAGAATACTTATTGCAAAGCATTGGAAGACACAAGATCTACCCACACTGGAGGAATGGCAGATGAAAATGATGGACTACATGGAATTGGCGGAAATGACTGGCAGAATCCGAGACCAGGGAGAAGAGTCGGCGGAAGAAGAATGGAAGAAATTTAAAGACTACTTACAGAAATATTGTAAAATTAATGAATGTTAGAATGATGTCGGATTGAAGTTAAGTAGTTTCTAGCTGTAATGGTATAAAAGAATATGGAAAAATTGGTTTTTAATACGTAAAAATTTAATGTTATAATATATCAAGATTAAAGATCAGGATTAAAAAGGAGGGAAAGGAATTGCTGGACTAACAAATTGAATTGGAATACAAAAGAGGGAGGTATGAGGAGGTCGGGGAAACAAGTAAATGTAAGAGAAGTGATGAAAAGATGGAATTGTTTTTAACTGTTTTTTCTTTTTTATACTTTGTATTTTTCCTTTTTATTGTTAATTTTCTTATTAATGTAATCTTTTTCTTTTGAAATTTTAATAAATATCATTTAAAAAAAAAAAAGCAAAGAGCATGAGGATCCATGCTTCCTAGCCACTATTTTGGGCCATGGAGTGGCCAGAAAGCCGTGGATCCGAGATTTTTGAGGTGCAGTCTGTGCCCCTGGACTTGATGTGTGATTTGAGGGTGAGTTTGGGTTGGCCCAATGCAAAAAGTCTGAGGATCCATGAGGATCTGTGCTTCACAACCACGTTTTTGGGCCATGGTCTAGCCAGGAAACTGTGGATCCTAGCTTTTTGAGGGGTAGGCTGTGCTCCTGGACATGATGTGTGATTTGACGGTGAATTAGGGGTGGCCCATTGCAAAGAGCATGAGGATCCATGCTTCGTAGCCACATTTATGGGCCATGGAGTACCCAGGAAGCCGTGGTTCCGAGATTTTTGAGGTGCAGGCTGTGCTCCTGGACTTGATGTGTGATTTAACTCTGAGTTGGGGTGGCTCAATACAAAAACCCTGAGGATCCATGAGGATCCATGATTCAAAACCATTTTATGGCAGATGAAAGTAATGGACTATATGGAACTGGCGGAGATGACTGGCAGAATCCGAGACCAAGGTGAAGAGTTGGTGGAAGAAGATTGGAAAAAAAATAAAATTTATTTACAGAAACATTGCAAGATCCAGGAATGCTAGAAGGATGTTGGAATGAAGCAATGTGGTTTTAGCAGAAATGATATAAAAGATTAGGTAAAAATTGATTTTTTAAGTGGTGAAACGAGAATGTAAAATTATAGTACACTAAGATAAATTATTAGGATAAAAACCAAGCGGAAAGGATTTGCTGAAATACTTAATTGAACTAGAATACAAAAAAGGGAGGTGTGAGGAGGTCAGGGAAACAAGTAAATGAAAGATAAGACATGGAAAGATGGAAATGTTTTTAATTGTTTATACTTTCTTGTATTTTGTATTTTCTGCTCTCTTTTTTCCCCTTCTTTTTCCTTTTCCCTTTCTCTTTTTTGTAACATCTTTGAAACTCTAATAAATATTATTTTAAAAAAAACACACACCATTTTTTGGGCCATCGTATGGTCAGAAAGGCATGGTTCCTAGTTTTTTGAGGTGCAGCCTGTGTCCCTGGATTTCATGAATGATTTGACAGTGACTTAGGGGTGGCCCAATGCAAAAGGCATGAGGATCCATGAGAATCCATACTTCAAAACCATGTTTTTGGTCCACGGTATGACCAGGAAGCCGTGGATCCTAGTTTTTTGAGGGGCAGGCAGCGCCCCTGGACATGATGTGTGATTTGACAGTGAGTTAGGGGTAGCCCAATGCAAACAGTGTTAGTATCCATGAGTATCTGTACTTCAGAACCATGTTTTTGGGCCATGGTATGACCAGGAAGCCATGTTTTCTAGTTTTTTGAGGTGCAGGCTGTGTCCCTGGCAATGATGTGTGATTTGACGGTGAGTTTGGGATGGCCCAATGCATAAAGGGTGAGGCTCTATGAAGATCCCTGCTTCGAAACCCTGTTTTTGGGCCATGGTATCACCAGGAGGCAATGGATCCCATTTTTTGGTGGTGCTGGCGGTTCCCCTGGACATGCTGTGTAATTTGACGGTGACTTTGGCTTTGCCCAATACAAAAGGTATGAGGATCCATGAGGATCTGTGCTTCGAAACCACTTTTTGGGCCATTGCATGGTCCGAAAGCTGTGGATCCTAGTTTTTTGTGGTGCAGGCAGTGCTCCTGGAGATGATGTGTGTTTTGACGGTGAGTTTGGCTTGACCCAATGCAAAAAGCCTGAGGATCCATGAGGATCCATGCGGATCTGTGCTTCGAAACCACGTTTTCGGGCCATGGTATGGCCAGAAAGCATTGGATCCTAATTTCTTGAGGTGCAGGCTGTGCCCCTGGCTATGGTGTGTGATTTGACGGCGAGTTTGGGATGGCCCAATGCAAAAAGAATGAGGATCCAGGAGGTATGGCCAGGAAGCCATGGATTCTAGTTTCTTGTGGTGCAGGCTGTGCCCGTGGACATGATGTGTGAATTGAAAGTGACTTTGGGGTGGCCCAATGCAAAATGCGAAAGGATCCACGAGGATCCGTGCTTCGAAAGCAAGTTGTTGGGCCATTGCATGGCCAGAAAGCCATGGATCCTCGTTTTTTGTGGTGCAGGCTGTGTCCCTGGTGATGATGTGTGATTTGACGGTGAGTTAGGGGTAGCCCAATGTAAACAGCGTTAGTATCCATGAGTATCCGTACCTCAGAACCACGTTTTTGGGCCATGGTATGACCAGAAAGCCTCGGATCCTAGTTTTTTGTGGTGCAGGCTGTGCCCCTGGCTATGATGTGTGATTTGACGATGAATTTGGGGTGGCCCAATGCAAAAGGCATGTGGATCCATGCTTCAAAACCAGGTTTTTGGGTCATGGTATGGCTAGGAAGCCCTGGATCCTAGTCTTCTGAGGTGCAGGTTGTGCCCCTGGCGATGATGTGTGATTTGACGGTGAGTTACATGTGGCCCAATGCAGAAAGCTTGAGAATCCATGAGTATACATGCTTCGAAGCAACGTTTCTGAGCCATGGAGTGGCCTGGAAGCTGTGGATCCGAGTTTTTTGAGGTGCAGGCCGTGCCCCTGGCGATGATGTGTGATTTGAGTGTGAGTTGGGATGGCCCAATGCAAAAAGTGTGAGGATCCATGAGGATCCGTGCTTCGGACCCACATTTTTGGGCCATGGTATGACCAGGATACCGTGGATCCTAGGTGTTTGTGGTGTAGGCTGTGCTGCTGGACTTGATGGGTGATTTAACGGTGAGCTGGGGTGGCCCCATGCAGAAAGCGCGAGGATCCATGTGGATCCATTCTTCAAAACCATGTTTTTGGGCCATGGTGTTATGGTTCCAAGGGGTTGCTCGAGAGCAAGCAGGCAAATGCCTCCCTGCTCGGCTGTGAAGCCTTGCTTTTGATGCCAAAATAAAATTTGGCTTTTTTTGTAATATTTTTTATTGATTTTAGCATACAAAAATTTTAAGATATACCACACAAATTATTATACATATATCCTTATTTGGACTTCCTTCAGCATCTCTGATAGCCTTCCGTCTTAATTATTTCTCCTGCAATTCTTAACTCAATATTGCCTTTACATTTTCTAACATTTATTGCTAACTTTATACATTTTTGCTAACTTAACTGGTGTGATGTACCATCTATACATCATCTTCATCACGTTTTCTTTCAATGCATTACATGCAGTAAATCTCAAACCTTCTTTCCATAATTTGACCCACTCACTTAATTGAATATTATATCCTAGATCTTTTGCCCAATGAATCATCACTGATTTTACCTCCTCGTCCTTCAAGTGCCACTCCAGCAGTAATTTATACATTTTTGACAGAATTTTAAAATCATTATTTAATATTTATTGTTGAAACCCCGATTCTTTTTCACAGAAACCATTTCTTTGATATCTTGTTTAAACACTTCATTCACCTGATAATAGTGTAACCAATCATTAACATACTGTTTCACTTCTTCATATGGCTTCAATCTCCATTTTCCTCCTCCTTTAATTACTAATTCCCCATATGTTATCACTTCCCACTTATATTAACCTTTTTTACACACATCATTTCTAATGGAGACAACCAATGCGGTGTTTTTTTGTTCCAATAGGTTTTTATACTTATCCCAGATTTCAATAAGAGATCTTCGAAATATGTGGTTTCCAAATCCTTTATGGACCTTTTTCTTGTCATACCACAAATATGCATGCCAACCAAATCTATTATCATGACCTTCTAAATCCAACAGTTCTGTATTCTCCAATTTCATCCGCTCCTTCAACCAACAGAGGCACGAGGCTTCATAATATAATTTCAAGTCCGGCAGGGCGAAGCCTCCTCTTTCTTTCTTTCTTTCTTTCTTTCTTTCTTTCTTTCTTTCTTTCTTTCTTTCTTTTTTAATAATTTTTATTAACAGACCAATCAAATCAAATCAAATCACATAAATTCCAAATTACAAATTTTAAATTTTTGTTGGGGGTACCCATATTTCAAGTTCCGAAAGGGATCCAATCCTCTTATTGCTGCTGCTTTAAAAGTCCACAAATCTGTCCAGATAATGTTCACAATTCTGTCCAATCCTTTCTTGTTGTTTTCCACATCTTTTCTAGTTATTTTCATATATTTTTCCTTTCTCTTTGTCTTTGTGGCCTCTGATAGTCTCCCAAGCGGGTTGAAACAAATTTGTATTCCTGTGTGGATTTTTCCGTTCGTCCAAGAGTCGTATTTCAGACGGCTACCGTATTTCATCGCTTCCATAAAGAAAAACATTCTTGCCGTCTACTCGTTAACTTTTCACAGGTCTGTCACACCCTTTCTCAACCCTTGAGGAGGTTCTGCCAGGAATCCAATATGAAAACAAAACTTCCTCCTCCCGATCATGAATCTTTCGACAGGACCTGTCAAGATGGCGACTCCCTTTTTGTTGCTGCGTCATCAAAAGCCCTTGTTCTTTTCTCGATCTCATAAACCAAACTTTTGGTAGTAAATCATTTCCACAGTTTTTAATCATCCTGCTTAGGTCAGTTATGCGACAGTTCTTTCTTGGGGAGGGATTATTGGTTAATCACATAGAAGAAGAGGGGGGGAAGTCCCCCCCATCCAGTCCCGCTCCGGCATACTGAACCTTTGATGTATTTTCTTCATATTATATTCCATTAAATCCAACCCATCACTCTCGTTTCACAGAGGTCACTTCAATTAGCAGTCTTTACTCCCTTTCTTCACTTGAAATATGTGCATTTGCTTCTATTTCCAATTATATATTTCGAGCTGATGCAGCCAGTGATGCAGATCAGAGACAGCGTCCAGGAGAGCTGGACCCTTCCGAGGGCTTTGTGCCTAGTGCCCTCACCCCCTTCTTTCGAATCCGGGGGTGAATTATGGACACAGCAGG